GCAATAGTTTGAACATTCTTTGGCATTGCCTTTCTTTGGGATTGGAATGAAAACTGACCTTTTCCAGTCCTGGCCACTGCTGAGTTTTCCAAATTTGCTGACATATTGAGGGCAGCACTTTCACAGCACCATCTTTTAGGATTTGAAACAGCTCAGCTGGAATTCCATCACCTCTACTAGCTTTGTTCCTAGTGATACTTCCTAAGGCCCACTTGACTTTGTATTCCAGGATGTCTGTCTCTAGGTGAGCGATCACAGCATCATGGTTATCTGCTTCATGAAGATCTTTTTTGTACAGTTCTTCTGTGTATTATTGCCACCTCTTCTTAACATCTTCTGCTTCTGTTAGGTCCATACCATTTCTGTCCTTTATTGAGCCCAATTTGCATGAAATGTTCCCTTGGTATCTACAAGCTTCTTGAAGAAATCTCTACTCTTTCCCATTCTATTGTTTTCCTCTGTTTCTTTGCATTGATCACTGAGGAAGGCTTTCTTATCTCTCCTTGCTATTCTTTGGAACTCTGCATTCAAATGGGTATATCTTTCCTTTTCTCCTTTGGCTTTCAGTTCAGTTCAGTTCAGTCACTCAGTCGTGTCTGACTCTTTGTGACCCCATGGACTGCAGCATGCCAGGCCTCCCTGTCCGTTACCAACTCCAGGAGTTTACTCAAACTCATGTCCATTGAGTCAGTGATGTCATCCAACCATCTCATCCTCTGTCATCCCCTTCTCCTTCTGCCTTCAATCTTTCCCAGCATCAGGGTCTTTTCCAATGAGTCAACTCTTCGCATGAGGTGGCCAAAGTATTGGAGCTTCAGCTTCAGCATCAGTCCATCCAAAGAATATTCAGGACTGATTTTCTTTAGGATTGACTTGTGGGATCTCCTTGCAGTCCAAGGGACTCTCAAGAGTCTTCTCCAACCCCTCAGTTCAAAAGCATCGATTCTTCGGTGCTCAGCTTTCTTTATAGTCCAACTCTTATATCCATACATAACTACTGGAAAAACCATAGCTTTGACTAGATGGACCTTTGTTGGCAAAGTAATGTGTCTGCTTTTTTAATATGCTGTCTAGGTTGGTCATAGCTTTTCTTCCAAGGAGCAAGTGTCTTTTATTTTCATGGCTGCAGTCACCATCTTCAGTGATGTTGGAGCCCGAAAAAAATCAAGTCTGTCACTGTTTCCACTGTTTCTCCATCTATTTGCCATGAAGTGATCATACCAGATGCCATGATCTTAGTTTTTTGATTTTGAGTTTTAAGCCAACTTTTTCACTCTCTTTTCCCTTGCCTTTAGCTTCTCTTTCTTTTCTCAGCTATTTGTAAGGCCTCCTCAGACAACCATTTTGCCTCTTTGCATTTCCTTTTTTTGGGGAACGGTCTTGATCACTACCTCCTGTACAATGTCATGAACCTCCGTCCATAGTTCTTCAGGCACTCTATCAGATCTAATCCCTTGAATATATTTGTCACTTCCACTGTATAATCATAAGGGATTGAATAGGTCATACCTGAATGGTCTAGTGATTTTCCCTACTTTCTTCAACTTAAGTCTGAATTTGGCAATAAGGAGTTCATGGTCTGTGCCCAGTCGTGTTTTTGCTGACTGTATAGAACTTCTCCATCTTTGGCTATAAGGAATATAATCAATCTGATTTCCGTATTGACCAAGTGGTTATATCCAAGTGTAGAGCTGTCTCTTGTGCTATTGGAAGAGGGTGTTTGCTATGACCAGTGCATTCACTTGGCAAAACTCTATTAGCCTTTGCCCTACTTCATTTTGTATTCAAGGCCAAATCTGCCTGTTACTCCAGGTATCTCTTGACTTCCTACTTTTGCATTCCAGTCCCCTATAATGAAAAGGACATCTTTTTTGGGGTGTTAGCTCTACAAGGTCTTGTAGGTCTTCATAGAACAGTTCAGCTTCTTCCACACTACAGATGGAAGCATAGACTTGGATTACTGTGATATTGAATAGCCCCTTCTGTGGGACACTAAATTACATTAGAAACCACCCCCTCCCTTAAAAAACATGTACAAGCTTCCAACTGCAAATTGATGCCTTCTGTCCCTCTGAAACTTTTGCACTCAGTCTGTGTACACTGATTCTTTATCAGCCTGTTCATGATCCAGAGACTTCTTTCACCCCTTGTTCACTCCCCCTTTGCCTCACTCACTCTTCAAATGCCTTTTATTGGGTAGAAATTTAACAAAATGCTGGGAGTACAAATATAGAAGATATTATTCCTCTCTTAAGAACCCTACAACCAAGTTGAACAGAAAAAAAAGAAAAAACAATGCTTTTAAAAATAGTGTAAGAGACCATTATGACAGCATCAAGCATACTAATATTTGCATTATAGGGATCCCATGAGGAAAGAGAGAGAGAAGAGGACAGTGGACTTACTTGGAAAAATAACAGGTGAAAACTTTCCTAACCTGGAAAAGGATACCTCCACCCTTGTCCAGGGAACAGAGGAGGTCCCCAACAAGATGAAGCCAAAGAGTTTCACATCAAGACACATTTTAATTAAAATGGTAAAAGTTAAAGAGAAAAAGAAAATCTTAAATGCATCAACAGAAAAGCAACTGACTATTTACATGAGAACTCCCATAAAACTCTCAGCTGAGTTTTCAGAAGAAACTTGCAAGCCAGAGGGAGTGGCATGATATATTCAAAGTGTTGAAAGGAAACAATCTACCACTGAAATACTCTGCCCAGCAGCGCTATCATTCAGATTAAAAGGAGAGAGAGTTTTACAGACAAGCAAAAGCTAAAAGAGTTCAGCACCACTAAACTGGCCCTTACAAGAAATGTTAAAGGGACTTCTCTAAGTGGAAAGGAAAGACCACAGCTACAAATATGAAAATTACAAAAGGAAGAAATCTCACTGGCAAACACAGACAACAGTAAAAGAGCAGATCAGACACTTATAAAGCTAGTGCATGCACGCTAAGCCTCTGACTCTGCGACCCCATGGACTGTAGCCCACCACGTTCCTCTGTCCATGGGATTCTCTAGGCAAGAATGCTGAAGTCGGTTGCCATTTCCTCCTCCAGGGGATCTTCCCAACCCAGGGATTGAACCCGAGTCTCTTATGTCTCCGGCATTGGCAGGTGCATTCTTTAAACTATTGGCATCACCTGGAAAGCCCACATTGGCATATACTCATTCATAAAAAATGGAATTTTGCCAGTGACAACAGCATGATGGCTCTAGAGGATATCATGCTAAGTGAAATAAGTCAGACAGGAAAAGACAACTACCTCCTGATCTCACTTATCCGGGGAATGCAAAAAAGAAACAAACAAAACAAAATGAAAACACTTACGAACAAAAAAGAATGATTGCCAGAAGAGAAGGAGGCTGGTGAGTAAAATATGTTCAAAGGATTAAGAGGTACAAACCTTCAGTTACGTAATAGATAAGTCAAGGGGATTCAATATACAATATAGGAATGTGGTCAATAATATATAGTAATAAGTTTGTATGGGGATTTACTAGAGTTATTGTGCCGATTATTTCATGGCATATGCAAATGTCAAACCACCTGAAACTTACATAATATTGTGCATCAACTATATTTCAATAAAAAGAACCCTACAACTAATCTTCTCCAACTCGACCCGCTTGAACAAATCTATAGTGAACCGCTTCATTAAAAATCAAATACCCTCTCTTGTGCAATACATAACAAAAATACTCACTTCCTCTCTCTGGGCCTCAGGGAGTGTGTCTGAGGCACTGGTTTTCAAATCATGTTCTCCGCAGACCTCATTCAGTGCTCGGCTAGAGAAGGAGGCTCATCTGAGGAGTGGAATCCCGACTTCCCACTGTATCATCAGCTCTACCGACAAGCATGTAACCTGGAGCTGACTTCTCATGAGGTGCTTTCAAAATCCCTGGTGTCGGTGAGATGCAAGGGTCCTTCCAGAGTCTGTATTCTGTGATTCTGAGATCATTTAAAAGGGCCGTATTTGCAGGAGATCTGCATGAAGAAGAGTTTGGATTGATGATACAGGGGAGAGGGAACTATGCTAAGAGACAATTTGAGGGCTACACAGACTGAAATGAAAGTATGAGTGTTTAATTACTCCCTTGAAGCCAAGCATGAGAGGCTGGGAGAAAGTGTCCAAGTGATTTCATGCAACCAGAATAGATTTTAATGATCACCTGGCACCTTCCAAAATTACAGCTGTGAATGGGGTTATTTTTATCAGTTGATATTCATCAGAAGAAAATTCAATGTGCTCTGTATTCATTAAATGCTAATATACACAATCCATGACTAAATTATTCATCTTTTTATTGTTTTAAGTGTCCAAGTGAATGCTGCCTGCCCAGATACTTAACAGCAAGCAACCAAGTATTTAAATATTTGACCTGTTCACATAACTGCCAAGAGAAAAGAGTATTTTTAAGCTTAAAAAAAAACAACAAAAAAAAACAGAAAAATAGAGCTCATAGTAATACATACATTAAAAGTTATTTTTATTAGTCTCTGAATTGTCTCCATGTTGAGAATTTGTTGTATAGCTTTGATGATGTAAGTTATGGGTAAGGTTTCTCTGGTTCCTGAAATCTCATTGGAACAGAAATTCATCAGGGTGTAATATATTTGAAAGAAATTTTCATCGGTCTTAAATTACCCACTCAAGTTTTTAAAACAAGGAAACACATGGCTTGGCTAAAGTGCCCCCACTGCCACCATGTTGAGGGCAGGCCCGCCCATGGTCCCAAGGCTGCTAAGAGGCTGTGCCCTTCCATTGTTCTCCGGGTGGGCGCTGTCTCAGGAAAGAGCTTTCCTTTTAGCGAAGATTCAGTCATTCTGACAAAGCAGTCTTTTTTTTCTCTTCCATTTATGGCAATGTGTGTAAGATGAAAATTAGAGTGAAGAATGGATTTTGACTGGAAACTAAACCGGCAAATATAATCAGTGTCTCCAGCGCAGCACAGGCCTGACTGTCCTCTGCCCTCATCAGTCAAAGGTCACTGTCTGACCACTCCCGGCCCCACCCTGCGGCTCCGATCTGCTGAGGCCCCCGGAACGGTGTCCAAAGACAGACACCCTTGTCCCCAGCTGGGCAACGGCTCCACACGGGCCTCCTCGTGGGGAGAGGAGCGGAGAGCGGGCGGGCCGCGTCCCCTTCCCGAGGTGAGGTGGCTCGGGCATCCTGGGGGGTCAGCCCGCCCCAGGGGACGCCCACACTCAGCCTGCATAAGCTCTTGATTCCGAGCTTCTCTTTCTTGCCTTTATTCTCCTGCCCACAGAGGCTGAAACAAGGACGTGATCAGCTTCTCTGACCACCACCACCCTGAGGCCTCTCCTGACCTCGGCAGTCCACGCAGCCGTCCTGAGTTCAACCCGCGTGGGCAGGAGCCGCTGGGCGCGCAAGGGGGTCATGGCTCCAACCCTCGGTCCCTAAGACCAATGTCAGCATTTCAGACCGCCCCAGGAGCTCACTGAGCGTGAAAATCCACACCTCCTACAGACCCTGACCTGCTGCCTTCTCCAGGCTCCCCACGTGTGGGCCAGCACAGCCTCCCTCAGGAGAAACGGCCCTGGGCTCCGTGAGCACCAGGGTGTGCAAAACTCAGGGTCAGGACGAGCGGTGATGGGGGGTCAGGACAGTGCTCTGTGGGGCCTCCGTTCTCTCACGTGAATCGTCCCGTTTTCTCTTCACACACACACAAAACCTCACACACACACAAAACCACACACACAAAAAAACCCACACACACAAACACACACACACAAAACCACACACACACAAACACACACACACACACAAAACCATACACGCAAAAAAACCCACACACATTCACACACACAAACACAGACACACACAAAACCACACACACACACGAACACACACATACACACACAAAACTACACACACAAAAAACCCACACACACACAAACACACAAAACCACACACACAAAAAACCCACACACACACACAAACACACAAAACCACACACACAAAAAACCACACACACAAAAACACAAACACACACACAAACACAAACACACACACACACAAAACCACATACAAAAAAACCCCACACACACATACACACACACACAAACACAAAACCACACACACACAAACACACACACACACAAAGTCACACACACACACAAAACCATACACACACGCAAACACACACACAAAATCACACACACACACACACACAAAAAAAAACCCCCACACACATTCACACACACAAACACAGACACACACAAAACCACACACACACACAAACACATACACACACACACAAACACACACATACACAAAGTCACACACACGTACACACACATACACAAAACCATACATACAAAAAAACCCCACACACATTCACACACACAAACACAGACACACACAAAACCACACACACACACAAACACATACACACACACACAAACACACACAAACACAAAACCACACACACACAAACACACACATACACAAAGTCACACACACGTACACACACATACACAAAACCATACATACAAAAAAACCCACACACACATTCACACACACAAAACCACACACACAAAAAACCCACACATACATTCACACACACACAAACACACAAAACCACACACACAAAAAAACCCACACACACATTCACACACACACACAAACACACAAAACCACACACACAAAAAACCCACACACACAAACACAAAACCACACACACACACAAACATACACACAAACACACATACACACAAACCCACTGAGGATGCAGAGGGGAAGGACATGTCAATTATTGTCACTTGTGGAATATATTTTAAATTCTTAAACCGACACTGATAAGTCATACCTCCCATTTCACAGAAGGATAAGCTGAGGTCACACAGGTTAACTACCTGTCTACGGCCAGTGCTGTGGTGAGCTGCGGCTGGACCAAGAACTCGGTTCCTGGCCCTCCAAGCAGCTCGTGTGACCTCGCTACACCCTTCTGCACCTGCTAGCGCAGATCCCCTGTGACGGAGGTGTCCTCAGTCTTATCTGGGTGGCTCTCGTCCTATCTGCAAGCAGGCGCGGGGCAGGTTGTAGAAAGACTCAGATACAGTAGGGAAGCTACAGGTGTGCCAGTCTGGGTGGGCACTGGGTGAAGAGGCAAACCCAGCCTGTCAACACAGGGCTGAAGGTCTAAGGGGTCATGGGGCTCTGTGGACGCCCCCCACCCTGGGGAAGCAGGAGGTAGGTGAGTCTCACTGACCTGGATGGAGCCTCATGGGCCCACGGGGGCCAGTCAGCCCTGGTGCCGGAGCTGGGCCGAGCAATAGGGAAGTGAGGCTGCCCAGTGCTGCCCAGTGCTGCCCAGACTGGTTCAGCCAGGATGGACGCCTATGGGTGGTCCACACCAACACGAGCTGATGGCCGAAAACTCAGATCAAATGCAGCAACAGCGCTGGTGGGGACAGAGAGGGGGCGAGCAGGGCAGCCCCCGGGGTGGACAAGGGGCAGCGTCCAGAGGGCAGGGGCAGTGCCCTCCTCCCTTCCACTCACCCAATGAGAGCAGCGGCAGCAAGAAAGGAATAAGCAGGTCAGAGCATCCTCAGGGGCCTGTTGGGAGAAAGAAGAGTGTTTGCGAGCCAGGTGGGCGGCTCCCAAGAAACGCTGGGTGACCAGGCTTCCCAGTCTCTCCACTCGGCTGTGGATCCCTCGCCTCTGCTTCACGGGTCTCAGGTGTGCGGCAGCGTCACCAACAGCAGAAACAACAGTTTGCACGTGCAAATACCTGCAGCCTGTGATAGAGCAGAGGAAACCCCCTCAACCACAGAACACCTATCGGGGGTCACTGTGCTATCTCTCCAGTCGTGTCCGACTCTTTGTGACCCTGTGGACTGTAGCTCACCAGGCTCCTCTGTCCATGGGATTCTCCAGGTAAGAATACCGGAGTGGGTTCCCATCCCCTCCTCTAGGGGAACTTCCCGACCCAGGGATCGAACCTGCGTCTCTTGCGCCTCCTGCACTGACGGGTCAGTTCTTTATCACTGGACCCCCGGGGAAGCCCCTAGGCTGCTAGGTTTTACATCCCGATCTTTCTCTCTTGGTTATAAAGTCACAGCAAGTCATTCTTCCGGAACCAGATTTCCTAGTGGGTTTCAAGAATATGATGGGGACAAACTTGCAGAGCATCCCTGCCACACAAGAGGAGGTTATCTAGCTGAGCTCAGTGAGTCCGATGGCTGAGTCCAGAGTTGAGCATCCCCATGGCAAAGAGGCAGGGGGGGCCGTGGCAGGGGGAGGCCGAGGAACAGAAGGGCCAGCACACGAAGAGGCCTCACCTCGGGGAGGCGCTAGGGCCCCGCCTGCTCCCTCTTGGGGCTCCCACGCTAAGGAAGGCCAGCATGCATGTCCCGGGCCCCAGGAGCCCAGGAGGGGCCAGGAACCCTAAGGGAAAAAAAAGTTTGTTCTTAGAAATTCCCCTGAAAAGGTCCTGCCGTCCTGAGTTGGGAAGCTGCCCGCAGAGCTGCAGAGACCCAGCCCCCCAGGACCACACCTGGACCCCACAGAGCCCACAGCCCTCTCCCTGCCTCCTCCCCGCCCCCACACCCCGCATCTGAGCACCCACCGCGCATCTGGTGCTCAACAACGAACAAAACAAAGTTCCTCTACTTACCCCACTTGTGGCACTTACATTTCAGCTGGAGAGACATTTATAAATAAACAAGTGAATAATAGCAGATGCATAATATAATCTTAGGAAGAGACTGTGCCCCTGAAGCCAGATAAAAGAGCAGCAAAGACGTTCAGGATGTCTGGGAGGAGGTGGTCCGAGGGAGGGGCGTGGAGTCCGGCTGAGGATGGGGAGAGCTGTGACGCCCGAGGAGGATGAAAGCAAGAATCGTCTAGTGCCATCAAATCTCCGGAGAATCCAGATTCCACTAAAGGAAAGTAATAACGATAGTTATATTTTTAAAGGCTGATATTTGCAGACTGTGGAAACTAATTCCTTTGTAAATGTTTTAAATTATGATGAAAAATTTTAGATTTCAACCTAAAAATGTATAGATGCACAATTTTTCTAAATTACCTTTAGGTGTACAAGGACAAAAGTATTGATGTTTATGAATATATGAAGTTCCCTGGTTGAGACCCTTACCCATCACTCACTGCCTCAAGTGAACACAATTGATATTTCCAAGCTCTAACTATCAACGCTTTGCTGGCACTGTTACTTTACTTTCATCTAAGGTGAAAGCAGTATGATTAGCCTTCCTTTGAGAAGAGAGAGACTCATCTGAAATCACAAGAACCAGTGAAATGGTAAGGATGAGAACCATGGACTTCTGAGGCCCAGAGGGTGAGGTATTTCTGTCAAAGAATAAGAAATACAGGTCAAGGAACCCAACCGAGGAGTCACATTTTCTTCGAGGTGCTTTCATTCACCTTCTAATTGTGAGATCCATTTCCTTTTTTGGTGAGCCAGTTCACCAGAAAATTGTCCTAATAAGGACTGGACATAAGTAGACTTCAAGTATCATAAATCTGAATCAGAAACAATGTTTAAAAATTCTCCAGGATCTCACTGAATAAAAGAAAGGATCAGAGGAAGGCAGGCTGGTGAGTGTGTACTTGCCGTGGGAAGATACCAGGAGGACAGCCAACCAGCGCGTCACGTCTGCTGGAGTAGGGAACCCCAGAAGTGTGCGCACACACACACGCACACACACGAACATCGGAGACACCAGAACTCACAGTCTGCTCTCCCCGCCCCCACATTCAACTTCTCACAACACCAGTGGAAATGTTTATGTAAAACAGAAGGTATTATGTCAGTGATATCAACCAAAAGAACAAGATTTAAAGGTGAAAAGGGAGAAACAGAACCCCTCTTAGGGACAAGATGGAGCTGACATGTTTGGGGGGAACCCCTATTAAGAACCCCCTTTTTCATCATTAATGACTTTTGTGCAACAGAAAGACTAGATTACAGAAGCATCATCATTACATAAGCCAACAGTACTCTGCCCACCTAAGGAAAACCTCCCCTGCACCCACAGAATAAATACCCAGGTGGCTCCGTCCTCTGAGAGCAAAAGCCCAGAAAATGCAGAAACAGAAAGAAACAAATCAATCCTGAGACGTGGTGAAGAAGCCCCACAACAGAACATCTTCACAAAGCGTGTTTCGGGGTTGGTCTCCGCCC